GACAATAGCTTGCTGTTTATATATTCTATTAGTTGCTCATACACTTGTGACATCGGGTCATAGAAGCATGCTAGTGGACACTTTATGGCTTTTGAGCATTTATTTCACTACATTTTTTCTTTCATTAGTTTTTGCTTTACTTTATTAAATTTTTCATTTTTCATTCGCTTAATAAAATAAATAAAAAATCGACTACTTTGGAATTTTAAAAAAAGAAAGAATAGATACATGACTAATTCACCGTTGGCTTGCCTAGCGGCGACGTTGGGCGCTATCACAACCTATGGGAGAAATTGGGTCGTTAAAGCTTAATGAAAAACAATCATGCGATCATTCCAAGTTGCATTGAATAGTTCGACTTATATAACTCTGAGACTTCCCTTTCTAAGCCACCAGTGAAATTGCATTTTTACCAAGTACATTTACCTGTATCCACCGTACTTGACTTGAATTTTATGATTTTTAGAAAGGCCAAATGGCCTTCGGGCCACTTAAACTTGTACCCGTATGTCAATTCGGTAGATGAACTTATAATTTTCCCATTTAAACACTTCAACTCTATAAAATGTATATGAATACACACCTCTGACCGTTGACCATGCTTATGTGGCAACAAGGTAACTGATGTGGCAGTTAGGGGTGTATATAGATCAGGTTGATAAAATCAAACCAAACCATTTATATCGTTTCAGATTGGTTCGATTTTGTCGGATTTTTCGGATTTTTTTCCTTACATGAATAATATGTCAATCTTACTTTGTTAAAAATTTTATAAGTAAATATATGTTTAATAAAAATTAAAAAAATTGACAAACATATGATCCATTAAAATATTTTTATGGGAGAATTTTCTTAGTAACACACGATAGTTATTTTTTTTAGTTGTCTAACAATAAATTTTCGTTAATGTACGCTTTCAAAGTTAACCGAATTCAATAATTAAACATAAAAATCAATATGATACTTAAATAATGTATGTGCTATTTAATTTTCAATATCGAAATACCAATTCAAATTCGAAAAAGATATAAGAATATATAGATCTTGACATATGAATATGAAAAAATAAAGAGATTGACATATTTCAATAACACTTGATAAGAAAGTGATCATACAACACATTATATAAAGTTAATAGAAATGGAGCACTTCCAATTTTTATTAAATATTACATTCCATAAGAGAATCNATATATATATATTATATTTTATGTCGGTTTGATTCAGATTTTTTTACTCAATACCAAACCTCATCGGATTTTTTAATCGGTTTGGTTTGACTTTTCGATTTGGTGCGGTTTTCCGGTTCGGTTTATACACCCCTAGTGGCAGTAGTGCGTGATGCTCACGCTGAAAAGGAGCGTGGAAATATTTTTTAATAAAAAAATACTAAAATAAATAAATCATAAATCAAAAGAAAAGAAAAAAGTAAAGAGAAAAGAAAACCCAACCAACTTTCTCCCTCCCGTTTCCCACCCTCGGCCTCCCCTCCCTTTTCTTTTTTTTTTTTTTTTCAATTTCACTTCTTGTCATTGCTCCACCATTTTTGTCATTTCCATTTTACCACAGGTGCCTTTAACTACTATAGTACCCAACGAAACCAAAGATCATCCCTTCATGGGAGGCGAATGAATAGCTGCAATGGGTGGACCATCGATGGAGGTGGAGATGATAATAAAATTACTGAGAAAATAGGATATTAATGGACAAGTAAATAAGATCTATATTTTTTCACCTTTTTACCTCAATCTCATCTCTTAACTATGCAAATCATGGAGAATTGCAGAGACAAATTTTTTTTACGAAGAAAAAAGTTATTTGGTCAGCTATCTTGCAACTAGATCTTCAAGTCAAATTCAAATAAATCAAATCGTTAGTAGATAAGATCAAACTAATATTGATTTGCCAATTCAAAGCAACATTTGGTGAATGTCAGATATGAAGGTTTTCCTTTTTAATGGTTCTTGTTTTGTTTGTGAGGAGAGGACGAAATATAGAGGAGGAAGGTAATGGAGTGAAAAAAAATGACAGCCGCCGAAGAAAATTTTCCAGTGATATTTGAAGGTTTTCGGCGAGTTCTAAAAGGAAAAAGAAGGGTACACACAATTACAAAGAATCTGACAAAAAATAATTATTAAAAAAATAAAATAAAAATGGGACCCACAATTTACAAGTGTCAAGAAAATATAATGTGGAAGATATGGTAATAGAAAATGCTAAAGTTTATCCATGTGCAAAGATTGTACAACACTCATTCGTGGGTGTTTATTTATAGTCATTTAGTTATGTTAAGGTGTTTAAATGAAAAAGTTCTAAATTTATTTACTGAGATGATAAACAGGTACAAGTTTAAATGGCTCGGAGACCAGTTTACCTTTTAGAAACATAAAAATACATTAAGTTTTATTTATTGTCATCCATGCATACTGAATGTAGATGTAGTGATAGTCCTGCCTATTTATTTTCACACTTAATGGAAGTTTGAATTTGAATCTTAGAACCCTATCGACTAAGTTTATCTAATTTTTTTTTCTACAATCACTTAGTTACTCTTAATAAGATTTGTTCCATTCTTATAAGGTCTTAAAATTATTAAAAACATCACTTAAAAGATTATTATAAAGGTGATTTTTTCTATTATTACCGTACAATCACCACTATTAACCTCCATCGGACAACCATCCACGTCAGTCAACTTTATCGCCAGCCACCACCACTCGCTTCCACCATCATCGCCAACCACTACCACCAACTACTACTACCCGCTATCGTCGCATCTTCACTCAACCATCACCTTGAATTTGACTATACTACCATCAACCACCGCCTCACTACATGTAAATTAAGTTTTTATCTAATATTTTGTGGTTATAATATTTAATTAATTATTTTGTGAAATATATATATATAAAATTGTCCAGCGTTTAACTTCCAAAACAATGTTCTAAATCTATCTATGCTATATTAAAAGCACAAAACCCCTATCGAAATATTATTCGCCTTTTTTTTACCCTTTAAAAATAGATTCTGCACTAGACAAGATAGTAATTTGATAATTTTTCTAATATCTAGGATTCTTAAATCAACTAAAATTTTAGTTTTAAATATAACCTTATTTGAACTACTTAAAGAGTCCTAATATTAAAGACTTTAAAATTCACTTAGAATGTGATATAATGTTAGAGATATTCACGTGATTTAAAGTTGGAAGCTAAAATGATTTATTTTTGTAAGTCAAAACCAAGTTTGTGTGGGTTTTAGGTTGTGCAAATATTATAGAATACTAGTCATGCCAAAAACAGGAGACAAGCATTTATACAACAATTCATGTACGTATTTTCAAAACTTGTCTTTCTCTATTTTTTCCTCCAAACTTATTAGTTTTTTCAATAAGTATAATTTCTTTTATTTGTGGTGTGGATATACACATGTTTTTCCTGAGGCTTGGATATGATAATATATTTTTATAAATTATCCATCTGTAGAATTTGAGATATGAAGTTACTTATGTATAAATTCTTTTTTGAAGAGTCAATGAATGAAAGGTAGAGGTACAATTATTACTTCAAACATGCTTGTGCTTTAATTTTAAAATCAATTTCTTCAGAGTATGCTCCTTTAGATAATTTTTTTATGTATGAAATTGTTGAGTTCCTTGAGTTTAAAGGCCTCTTTTCCGACGGAGCAAGCTAAGGTGATCATCTCGATGGATAGTTATTGGCAAGAGATTTAAAAAATATGTCGGAGCATATTATATAATTTTTCCTTATGAGATTGCAGACATGGAGTTATTTCGTTCAAGGTCAGACACATTCCTTTTCTTCTTTATGGTTCCAAATTTTCTATTGTCTTTTGCATAGGCTTTATTATTTTGTAAATTATATGTGTGCAATTCCCGTGTTTATGCAATTATAAGGTACAGGTGAAAGAAAGCTATATGATAGAAAATAAATGTATGATTCCATTATACAAAAATGGCCAGTCATATACAATAAAATTATCTCACGATTTTAATCTCCATTGGAGATAAATTATCAATGTTAATAAGATATTTCAACATTAAATAACTATTGATAATTATTGAATAATAATTCTATCATATAATATAGACATATGTTTTTCGAGTATTCATGCCTTTTTAGTAACATTCTATAATATGGTAGTATTCAATAAGATATGAGAGGAACTATGTAGGGTACAATTTCTTCCTTTATTGCATTAACTAAATAAAATAAGTATTTATGATTTTCTGGAACTTAATTTTTTTTCTTACAATATTATTGTATAACTCAAATATATTTTTAAATAATATTAAAAAATTTATTCATTTTCTTGAGATAAACGTGCAACACGTACTTAAAAATTATATTATTATTATTTATCTATCTATCTATACTATTATAAAAGACTAAAACTAAAATAAAATATTAAACCACTTTTTTATTATTTAAAAATAAAGTTCACATTAAATATTCTTATACATTATATTCGTAGTATCTTGAAGAGTTAAAAAATAATAATTTTTTAGGACTCAATGGACAAAAAACACTGGATCCCTACTTTCTTGATTCTTTTATCTTTAACTTTTCTTCTGATATTTATTTTATAATTAAAATATATTTTAATAATATTTATTTTTGCAATGTTTAAAAAATTATATTTATTGGTATTAGGTACGCGCGCAACGCGCGTATACTAAGACTAGTTCTAATAAAAAGATGTGTGTTCAAATTCAAATATTTATATTACAAAAATGTGCTTCACATTCCCTTAACTTAAAAGTTAGGATTCTCATATGCTTCCAACCCTAGAAATTTGATGCAACATGAGTTTTTTTCTAAGCTTACAAAAACATAAAATTATGACAAGCCTCCAATAAGATAACCTTATCCAACGTAGCCAATGAAAATCAGCCACGTAAGAACAAAGGAAAAGATACCAAACCCCCAAAGCTCAATTTTCCACCTCTCAATAAAAATCCTCTCAATCTAAGTTCCTCTTTCTCCTCTCAAAATCACATCATTTTACCAATACCACACTCTTAAATTTTAGGAGGAGGAAAGAAAAAAGTTGAGAGCAAAAAATAATGGCTTCAACTTCACTAGTTTCAATGGCAATGCCACTAACTTACACAAACCAAAAGAAGCAACCAATTATTGAAGCTTTTTTAAAGCCATTGCCAATAAGGCCATCAAAACAAATTGCAACAAATTCAAAACCAATTGTTGCTAAGTTTGTAGTGAAAGCTTCACTTAAGGAAAAGGTAGTGACAGGGTTGACTGCAGGTGTACTTACAGCATCAATGGTTGTACCTGATGTAGCACAAGCTGCTGATGGAGTTTCACCTTCACTCAAGAATTTCTTGCTTAGTATTGTGGCAGGTGGGGCTGTGCTTACTGCAATTATTGGTGCTATTATTGGTGTTTCCAACTTTGATCCTGTTAAGAGGAGTTAAAGTTGTTTAATTTGTGTCTCTTTAATTGTGTCCATATGATGTTAAATTAATTTCCAGTAATTTGTGTATGTTTAAATGACAATTAATTAATCTATTGTTTTTTTCGAATTATTAATTGATCCCAAACACACTATCCGACTATTTCGAATTCGTGTTGCGTAAGGGGTCACTGAAGTGCACTGCACTCAAAATTTCTGATAGGGAGCGCTCCCCTTTATTGAGCCTAATGCAGGTGCGAAATAGTCGACCATAAGATCTATAATTGAGGGTTGATGGATTTTATCCATCCTACTATACTCATTGCTAGTAATTCATCATAGTTGTAATTTTGCTAGAAACACCAAGTTGGCAAGTTACTTAAAAAAGTAACTACATGCATTTAGACTTATTACTTATCTGAAAAATGTAACTTGTTACATTAAGTCAAGTTAAATGTTAACAACTTCCAGCAATGTGGATACATAAAGAAGATCCAGGTAAACATGCACACAATTTGAATGCAAAAGCAACAATATTTTATTGTTTTTATGATTTATACTCTACTCTCATTGTCAAAAATCCAAAAGATTTCGACTTCTCTGCACCGAAGCTTCTCATCAAAAAGATCAAATTCTAGGGGCATTATTCTATAGTGCAGCTATAACACCGACAATGTTATATGGTAGTGAATGTTGATTGCTAAAGTCTAACATATTCACAAAATAACCGGTGCAGATATGTGAATGCTAAGATGTACGGTCATACATGATTAGATAAGATAAAAAAAATGACCACATTCGTCAAAATGTGCCAGTTACACGTATTGAGGATAAAACGAAAGAATGTCGCTTGAGATAGTTTCGTCGTGTCTTGCGTCACCATGAAAGAATATCGCTTGAGATAGTTTCGTCATGTCTTGCGTCACCCTACAGATGCACCGGTTCATAGATATAAAATTATGGTAAATGAAGATGTAAAAAAGGTACGAAATAGACCTAAAATCACATGAAAAAAGTTGTCTCGAAAGACCTACAAATCCTTAGAACCAATGAAGACTTAGCTAGATCCCACCACGTCCTTTAATGACAATTCAAACTTGTGTTATTAACTTCAAAACCGCTTGTGTTTGATTCCTAAATAGTGACTACTCGTACAAAAAGGTGCAAATCATATTTCATCCCATTTTAACGGCGGAAATTAAGTGAACAAATAAAACTTTACAAAGAAAATGCAGTGGTTTTAATATGACTAGTTTTCGAAGATTTCACAAAGTTTGGTCACGTATAACTACAGGTAATAAACTCCAAATAACAAGACAATAACTTGAATCTGACAGAATATACACCCAGCGAAAGGGTTCTGCAAATCTTTAAACAGAACAGAGCTAATGTTTTTGGAACTCAACAGTAAGGGGACTGAGTTACATATTCTTCAATTGAGTTAAGCTGAGGATTTGTTCCATCACACTACTAGAAATCGGGTGATTTCCGTCCAAGGCTTTCCGATCGAAATCGGTCGGAAAAAAAACCGACCGAAATCGGTCGAAAATAAGAGTATTTGGTCGCAAAAGTCAACGAAAATTTTCTGACAGCAAAAAAATAAAAATTCCGACCGATTTCGGTCGGAAATTGGTCAAATATTTGGTCATACTTGTATATACTGTACAAAAATAATTATTTATTAAAACTTTTCCAAAAATTGGTCAAATATTTGGTCATACTTGTATATAATGTACAAAAATAATTATATATTAAAAAAATTCAGAATTTTCGACCGATTTCGGTCGAAAAGTTTAAACTTTTTGTTTCCCGCCCAAGACAAAAATTATATATATTTAATTAACCAACCGAAATAATTATAATTCAATATTTCCGACCGAATTTTCATACCGAATTCGGTCGGAAAAACGCTTTTATATAAATTAAAATATAAATTTAATAATATTTGTGT